TCAGGCCACCTGGAATTTAGGCCCTGTGATATGTGCATGTGTGATCCTACCCATGTGATTGGTTGATTAGATAATTGCATTAATGAGAAATTGAACAGGTGTTCCTAATAATCCTTTAGGTGAGTGTATATATATATATACAGTGGTACCTCAGTTCTCCGACTCATTAGAACTTGAATTTCTTAAAAGTCGAACCAAGCAGTTCGGAAAAAAAATGACCTAGAACTCGATCTGAGTCTCAGAAGCCAAACCGTGAACGCCGACCTAAGATAACTTGTACGCACAGGGAAATGAGTCATGCTGCACGTCTCTCAGTGGAAACAGTGGGTAACGCTTCAGTCTCAGCCTTGCATTCACTGTGATAGCATAGTGCAGGTTTACACTAGCTGAATACATATATTTAGATAGTAAAAATACATTTAGACAATGATAGACAGTAACAGTAATTATTATTATACAATAAAATACCTTTAAAAATAAAGATTTCTTATTAATTATTTTAATATTAATAATAAACCATTAATACATTTAATTATAATAATACTGTCGTGCTGAACAGAGACGGAACGGAGACAATACGGAGGCGCAGACGTCAGGGTATCGGGGAATACGGGGTTTAATTACAGGTAGCGCAGGCAAAACGCAGACGGATAATACAATGACTGGACTGGGGAAACAAACTGAAACGCGGACTAAATACAGAGGACTAATGACAACAACCAGAAACAGCTGATGACACGTGGATTCCACACGGGGTTAACGAGAGGGCGTGGCACACGGACAATCGTTGCAGGACACATTGTTTTTTTTTTAACTTTACAAATTACTGTTTTGATAAATGTGCTTAGATGTGTTTAGTACAGTATATGCTCTTCTTGTTTTATCTGGTTCATTTTGTGTTTAAATGCTAAAAAAACATATTTAGGTGTAATTTTTGGGGCCGGGAACCAATTAATTGGTTTTCCATTATTTCTTATGGGGAAAATTCAATCACAACTCAAACTTTTTAGGATTCTATCCGGAGTTCTGAACGGCTTAAGTTCGAGTTCTGAGGTACCACTGTGTGTGTGTGTGTGTGTGTGTGTGTGTGTATATGTATGTATGTATATGTGCGTGTGTGTGTGTGTGTGTGTGTGTGTGTGTATATGTATGTATGTATATATATATACAGTGTGTGTATATATATATATACAGTGTAAACCTACATAAACAAATGTAGGTTTATTGACTTCTAAAGATTTTTATTACTGTGTTCTCTCTGAAGGGTTTTAAAAACAAATTGAAAAGGCATGAAATAGGAATGAACAGTGTCATCTGCAGATGTCTGGTAAGTACTTTAATGAATCAAAGTTAGCTTGACAGGGTGCCCAGTGCTGCCCAGATATATGGCTGAGGAACTTGCACTCTGTAACAAACCAGTGGTAAATGTGTAATTAAAAGTACGTTTGTTTTCCCTCAGAAATGCAGAGTAATTTATGTAGCACATAATTCATGTATGTCCGCTGTGGTCTCGTAAGTAGAATTTGCAACTTCACACTTCACAGCTAATGGAAAGCTTCCTGGGGTACAGCGAGGAATTAAGTTGTCATTCTTTGTGCCGGCAATTTCTCAAGCATTTTAGTCATCTGTGATGTTATCCAGTGAGGCTTTCAGACATATGCATGCTCAGCGTGGTCTTCCTCCTTCAGCTACAGCAAAATAATCTTCAGGCTTGGTTGCTTCCAAGGAGATCAACTGAGGATTTTTCCCAGATGTTTTCAAAAAAGTGATCAGGTCAAATGGAACTTGGATTATCAGCCATGGGGTCTGGTTTAAAAATACCAATTTTTTCATTATACTGTATTATACAATTATAAATAATGGGGTCAGTATAAGAAGTAGAAAAACAGGATTAGTGCTTAGAATGCTGGCATGTTTACTCTAAGAAAGGCAAATATTTACACAAAAAAATCATATATCTAGTACTGTAGCCTTGTATTTTGAGGAGTCTGAGTTTGAATTTCTGTGATGTCCCTGTGCTTGTACTGAGCATTTGGTTCCCCTTTTCAGCCCAGAAGGATGTGGTTATACTCAAAAGTGCCCTTATTGTATTAGTGTGTGCTTTGTGATAGGCTGGTATCCCATTGAGAATGTCCATCACCTTATGGCCTTTGCTTCCTGGGATAAACCCACCTACACTGGATAACTGTTTGGAAGATGAATGGATGTTTTCATGTTTCAAGTTTTCAATTTTTCTTGTTTAACACCATTTGAGTAAATGGCTCTGTAATGGAATGAGGCTTTCTGGGACAATGCTTTGTTTTCATCTTGAGGATCCCATGAATTGAGGTACTTGGGTCTTTCTTTAAGGGCCACAACAGTCAGATACAGAGGGGCCCATTCAAGATTTACCATGTCAGATGTGCTGTTTGTAGCACTCTGTGCTTGAGTAAAAAATCCTTCCAAACAAGTAAGAGGCTGTTTATGTATGAATCAGGATTAAGGTAAATGTCAGAAAATACCTCATCATAGCTTGATTTCTTAGTTACATAAAAAAATATGAAGTAAAGCACAGACTTCAAGAAATCAATTATTCTTTTTTAAAACAATCACATTTAACATTACAGAATTTCTATCTGAGATTCTACAGAATATGTGTATAGAGTTTTCTAACTAAGGATTGTATCTGTGTTTCAGTAGAATACTTTGAATTCATCTTTACTTTGAGACTTTGTCTGGAGACTTTGTCTGAACAGAAACATTTTGAAAGAAAAAACTCTCTAAATGAAGTCGTTTGACAGCACTAATTCATGGTACCCCACTTTTTTGTAACAAAAATAAAAACCTCCCACAACAACTAACTTGTTATATAAATATTATATTGATAACAGTTCAGAGTTGCAGAAAGTATCTGTTACTTTTAGTTGAGGAACATACAGATAAGATGGTTTCAGATGATCAGCACCTTCAGATTTTGACGCAGTAGGCTTTCTGTTTTGATTTGATTTGATGTAACAAATCATGTTGAGAACCAAAAATTCCTGAGGTGCAATCAAACCCAAATTTGAAATTAATTGCCTTTGGAATTTATTTTTCTAATTTTGCTTTTAACCGACCTTCCAGTGTTTTTAAAATGATAGCATGTGAGCATGTGATGTTCTGATGCCAAAAGGAATCGTGAAAAAACAACAAATTAGCTGTGAAACAGAAGCTCATTTGGGGATAAGATAAATAACATTTACTGTTTGGTCGGGAAAATATGAATCACAACTGAGATTAGGATAGGTTTTTATTACTGCAATAATAATAATAATGATAATGAATATTAGTTAAGTTCTCCCCAAACGAGCTTGATGGGCCGAATGGCCCCCTCTCGTTTGTAAATTTCTTATGTTCTTATATGTTCTTATAGTAGTAGTTTTGAACAGCAATTAGCATGGGGTACAGACTGTGAGAGTGTCTTTGAATGACTGCCAAGCAGAACTATGTGACATGGGAAATGGGGACCAAGAGAGGACCGGATGAAGAGTAAACACTTAAAATGAATGAGCAGCTTTTGAGAGAGTCCAGTACAAATACAAAGAACCCAGAACAGGTGCTTTGCTGATACCAGTTGTGGGACTGGGTGATGGGGAGCTGAACAAAACAGTTCTCCAAGTTATTCTTACGCAGGGAATATGGACTGGTGAGCAGGAGAACCTCCCATCTGAACTCTCAATCACAGCATGGACCATAACCTCCTCCACCTCCCACATAGTCTGTTTTGTAGCCTAGCTACTTCATACTAATGACACTTGATCATCAGCCCTGCATTGTCAAATGGAGGAAAACAACCTCTCCATCCTTCGAGGGGTCTCTCTCTTTTCATTAAACCTTGTTTTCCACAGGCCGAATGCCAGCTATTTACACTGTAGACATTTACAGTGTAGGGCTGCCTCATCCACTCTTTCCATTCTGTTTCCCAAAGGGTAATTTCTTGAAAACTGAAATGTACACGTTTTTAGTTTTTGTAACTCACTATTTTACTTTTCTGCTGTGTTTCCAGATTTTTACCCTCTGGATGACCTTCATCTCCAGAGTGGCAGCAGACATTGCCTGCGATGCCCTGCTCCTGCTGTCAGGAAATATTTCGGGTGAGTCGGACATGGCACTCTACTGGAGACTTTTTTGTGACAATGCTGAATAGCTGCAAGGGCTATCAACTTTTATTACACAACACTAAGCACATGTGTTACATTAGCTACCCCATTGTTATTGCATTTTGGCAATTTGTCTGACAGAGGGCTCAGTTGTATTATAAACCTTTTCACTGAGGATGGAATGAGGTATTAACTTATTATTATCTTTTACATTTTTATAATCCTGTTTTGACATTTGAATGACTACTGCGTTTGTGCCCACGGGACTTATCCATCTCCTTTTCTGTCATTTTCTAATCAGTCATGTAATTTGACACACACAAGTAATTTTAGGGACCTTTCATTAGTATGCCACAGTACTGCTGCTGATTTTCCTTGTTGGGGAAATCAATTGCTCAGATTGTGCAGAGAATTGGCAGGATTTATCCTGATCCTTCCTGGAGGAATTCAGCCCAAGGAAACTATGACCTTCGACCATAAATGTACTGGAGAAAAAGAAATGCTGAATATTGATAGCAGGTAATGAAGAGCAGCAGGGGTGGTAAATATCGGCCTTCTTAATTCCTAACTGTCAGCATTAGGTGCGGGACATATTACAAGCTAATTGTTCCTGACATAACAGGGTTCAGGGGTCAGTGGCCACCACAGCTATGCCTGCTATCAGCTTGTTGATTAATCCATCTCCATCAGTCAAGCTGCAGTGCTGACTATGCACCTTTGCTGTCAACTTTGGCGTTACTTTAAAATGATTAATTTCCATCTCCCTCCTGCAGCGCTCCACTCATGACATAATGATAAACACTATATACACTGAACAAAAACATAAACGCAACACTCTTGTTTTTTCTCCCATTTTTCATGAGCTGAACTCAAACATCGGAAAAATTTTCTACATACACAAAAGACCCATTTCTCTCAAATATTGTTCACAAATCTGTCTAAATCTGTGTTAGTGAGCACTTCTCCTTTGCCAAGACAATCCATCCCACCTCACAGGTGTGGCATGTCAAGGTGCTGATTAGACAGCATCAATATTGCGCACAATAAAAGGCCACCCTGAAATGGGTGCCACCCAACCGCCGAGCCAAAGCAAGGGGAACCAACGGTGAGCCAGGGGGCAGGGCAGATGGGACCCAGCGCAGGTGTCCTCTCCCTTTGCGGGACACTAAGAGACAGGGACCTGGCCGGGATCTGCCATGCTGAGGTGGTGGTTGGGGTGACCCACTAGAGGAGTTCATTGGTGCAGTCATCAGGGATATCCCCAAGGGGTCCCACTTAAGTTCCTACTCCATCTCCAAGGGGGGAGGAGTGGTGGTCCGATGGTCCGGGACCTCCTCAGGGACAGGGACTGGGGCCATAGGAACTGGGGCAGGAGCAGGGTCCAGGGGATCAGGAACCTCCTCAGGGACAGGAGCCGGAGGCATGGGGCAGGAACTGCCAGGACAGGAACCACGGGGGCTGGAGCAGGAACTGCCAGGACAGGAACCACGGGGGCTGGAGCAGGAACCGGCGGGACAGGAACCACAGGAGCAGGAGTCACGAAATCGGGTGAACAAGGGGTTTAATTGAAGAACACACACTGGAACACATCACATCGTCAATGACCGGACTCAAACGCGGACTTAAATACACAGGACTAAAAACAACGAGAAACACCTGGTAACATGGGGATTCCACACGAGATAGCGAGGGGGCATGGCACATGGGAAGATCGGACGAATAGGGCATGACAGTTCCCTCATTTTAGTTAAATCTTGGGCATGCTTTACTAATTCTTTCCCTTGTTGTAGCAAAATCATGGTCACGTGTTATTAATTCGTTCCCACAATATATTAAAATGTGGGCACCTTTTACTAGAAAACCTAATACACCACTTTCATTTAGGCCACTAGACATCTGCATCTGCTGGTATGGACAGACTTTAATTAATCAACAGAATATCAAAATACATGTGCAATCAACCATTCAATGCCTTCAAGTTTGTGTATCTGCACTTACGTGAAACAATGGACATATGGATCAGGCCTATTACTGTACCTCCAGTGCCTCACAGCTTTTCAGCTTGTTTAGTAAATACTCTGTCCTCTTTCCCAGCAGACTGTGGCAAGCTTGTATGAACAATTGCTTTATGAATTTGTCTGACTGGTTTACACTCTTCATGAATAGATTGAATGGCCATCTCATTTGGGGCTCATTGCCTCTCTGTGCTGCCTAGGATAGGCTCAAGGCTACCTGTAACCCTATACTGAATAAGTAGCTGTGAGATGGATGGAAAAATTATTGGTTGATTTAATCAGTCAGTCAGTTTATTGATTGATTGGTTGTTTGGTTGGTTGGTTGGTTGGTTGATATAATTACTGTGATACTAGCAAGAAGATTTTGCAACTCAGCAAACCAAGACATTTTTTTTGCCATGAATTTGACTCCTACTGTTATTGGTGTTCTAATGAGGAACTTTCCTGTTTCTTAATGTACATTAACATTAATGGAGAACAAATATCCTTCTCCCCTCTCCTCCAGTCATTGTACTAGCAGCCACCGGTTCTAGTATCCTTATAATGTGTTGTTTTTATGCTCTGTTGTGTCATTTTAAAACGTAAACTGGAGCAACATTGTGTTCCTTTTAGAATGGAATGTATTTCACAGATTAATAAGAGCAATGGGGTTTGTTATACATGGAGAAGCTGACAGGCTGTAATATTTGTCTTTACTTTGTCCATTCTCCAGTTTTACATGCTGTGCACATAAACTCAGCCCTATGATTACATTTTTTTCATAATCTCTATTCAGTTGGAGTGGCAAGGTTGGGGTTTGGATTCCAAAACCACCTGCTGGCTTATTCGCTGTCAGTTTCAGTTTAATTTGATATGTTAAACCCATTTTCCTTCACATTCTCAGATAAAATCCTGGCTGCTTCACTCTTCCCCTGGAGAAAATCATACAAAAAGCCTTTTCTATAACAAGTTTCTCTCCCTACAAAGACTGACACACCCTATCCAGCACCTTCCAACTGCAAACTTTGTTTAGTTGCAGTAGCTTCTTTCTTAAGAAAAAAATTATCAATCCCAACTCAGTTACAGAACATAACGTCACCTGATGAGGGATGTTCCGCTAAATCCAGATCACCCATGGATTTCTATATCTACTTCTTTGCTGTGGCTTCTTATGTTCGTGGTTTAAAAAAAGACAAAATAGCAGCTCATTTTATTGTCAGACTGTTTCAGAAATGCATGACCCAGGTGCCACACACTAACCGAAAGGTTCCAGGCAGCCTGCTAAACTAAAAATTTCAATTTATCTGTCAAGGACTGCCTTTTTAAATTTAGTTTTGTCAGCCTCCGCTAAGTTTGTGCACCCGTTGCCTATACTGTATTTATATGCATTTTATTTTTGCCATCATATCGACTATCTGTCCGTCCATCCATCCATCCATCCATCTAACCATTTTCCATAACTGCTTTTTCTCATATGCCTGGAACATGTGAAGGCAGGTAACAACCTTGATGGGATGCCAGTCTAACACAGTCATACCTAGTGCTATTACTGAATTGCACACAGATTTCCTTAATGCACTGAAATTATTTTTACGGTGCATTACTCTCTTCTGAAGCAACGGGATAAGGGAAATTAAAGCTCTAGGATAATACATTTACATTTACATTTACGTGTTGGTTTAAGATAATTTGTAGCATTTGGTCCATGAAGCACATGCATTAACCATTCGATAAGTGCTGAACTGAATACCTGCCATCAGCTTCGCAGCATGCAATAGGCAAATCTGCACTTTTCCTTAGCACAAATGGTAAGCAGGAAACACAATGAGAATAACCACAGTCCATGCAAGCACATTTACTTGCTTTATAAGAAAAAATACTCTCCCTGATTTGAAGTCAATTAATTGTGACTAATGCTTAGCCTCTGATCAAAATATTTCCCGGTATTAAGCCAGAAATGGCACAGTGTCTCAGAGAAATGTGGGTTGTTTATGTGCTTACTGTTTCGGGGTCTCAGAGGACAATGCATAACGTATTCACTGTTGATCACTGCATGAAGACATGTGAGTCAGGAAGAAGACTGACAAGGGCATTACCTTCATTGAGCTGCTCCCAATCTACCATGCACCCAATCTACTGTACCATGCACCCCTGCCAGAGTTTTCTTCCTGTTATTTGGTAACTGTGGCCATCTGTAGATGTACTATACACTTAACACATCAGCACATGGGTTTAGGAGGGTAGAGTCTAAGTTACAATTACATGTAACACCTTGTTTCATGCAGCTCAATGTTATCAAGTGGAACTGCAGACCAGACATAATTTGTTTGGTATCCTTATGGTGACAAACGCCGTTTTCCTGCAAGTTTGTTTATTGATCCCTGTTGTAACAATAGGCTTATACATGTACATACATTACTAGAAACTGAATAAACACACACAACATTAAAAACACCAACGTTTTTATACTAAATATGTATTTTGAATTTCGCTGGATGCGACAAGACATTTGTTTAGTACACCGTTGTATTTTCAAAATCAGTCAAGACTTGCTGGAGAACTGCAAAATTCACAGTAAGCATTTGAAATTTTAAAAACCTTTTAAAAATTAATAATTTAAAATAATGATGAGATGCAAATCAGCCACATGCGTTTTGAACACGCAGCGAAAAGTGAATGTGCCTGTTTTCATGTCTTTCTGTTATAGGATTGTAGGACGCCATCTTAGACTGGGGGAGAGTGGGTCTCTATGTATGTAGGTCAGGAGGCGGGGGCACCAGTACAGTTCATTGCCCTGGTGGGGCGATCTCTGTACACCCTGTGACAGTTTAGCTTGTTTGCATTTTTCTGCTCCTAAATAACAGCTCATTATTGTTTGTTCCGGGATCTGCTATTGTTGCAGATGTAGCAGGTCAGCTAAATGCTGGAAGAGCACAACTGATTAGAAACGGCCATAGATGCTGGAGAATTAATGGAATGCCATTGGGGTATCTTGCCCTCTCCTTCCCTCCTGTTTTTGTGACCTGTAGTCTCAAACGGCCCTACTGTCAAAAGTACTTTATGTTACTGATGTCCTTTGTACAAAGGGGAACAAACTCAGAATGTACAGCCTGCAGTAACCCAACAGCCAGGGTACAGCATAGTGTAACAGGGGAATGGGATGTGAACGCCACCCTTCTTAGGGTCCTGGAACAAAGCAAGTATTTGTGCTCCTGCTGGTCAGTTTTTCAGATGTTAACTGTTAAATAAGTTGTCACTGTACTCCAAGTCAGAATACTAAACTAGCCTATATTATCTAATGTTTATTTTGTGCATGTACATCCATCCTACTCTCTCTGCATCACTTCAGCCTGGTGAAGGTCATGGTTACTTAATGTGCTTGATGGTCCGCTGATGAATTTCAGCAACAGAACCAAGATGAATGGCGGCATATTTAAAATATTTTGAGCAGAGGTTTTAAAATATGTAGGTATATTCAGATAGCATACTTTTTGAATGCTTTCTGAATACATCAGAATTATATGTACTACATTTGACTTAAGTATAATGATACTGGACTATATAAACAAATAGGTATCACATTTGTGGTTTAAAATATACATTTTGCAAAATAAATGACATCAGCCATTATGTTATTGGGTGGTCGTTTTCAGTTTAAATTGTTATGTTGTGTCTGCCTCATATTTTATTGTCTGGTTTTATTTTATTGATCTATTATGGATCTTGATTGCTTTTCCTTTTTTCTTTTAGTGCATTCTTTGGCTTCATGGAATCAAACAACAAGCAATATAACAGGTGAGTGTTTTAAAATAGGGCTGAAAATTTAATCAGCATTCTGTATCTGTACTGATTATATACAGAAAATTGTGTTTAGCAGGGACATATTATGATCAGAAACATGTCTTCAGTGTCATTTCAAAAATAGCTTATTGATTGAAAGCCTTGTCAGCCACCAAAATTCAATTCAATTCAATTCAATTCAATTTGTATAGTGCGTTTTCACATTACATTTTCTCAAAGGGCTTTACAGCACCCAAAGCTCCCAGTGAGCAAGCCAGAGGCAACAGTGGCAAGGAAAAGCTCCCTAGAAGGAAGAAACCTTAGGAGGAATCAGACTCAGAAGGGGAGCCCATCTTCCTGGGGCTGGCAGGGAAAGTCAATTGATCAAGATGGCAAAATCCCAATTCATATCGTCCCAATCTTAACATTTGATTCACAAAGCAGGGGACAGGGAGGTGATGACAGGCAAGTGCTTCACGTGGCAGGGCGAAGAGTAGTACAGTAGTAGAACAGTAGTATGGCAGCAGGACATACAGGGAAGGTGTCTCGGGCAGAAGGGCGAGCAGGCCGGAAGGATGTCCCCGGTAGTGGAGACGTCGCAGGCAGAAGGGCAGGCAGAAGGGCAGGCAGGGTCTCCAGACAGCACACTCCAGGAGGAGTAGGGGAAATAAAATGTGCAATAGCCAAGGTGGAGGAGACTAGAGGCAGTGTCTACCACAGAGTGATAGTAAATAACAAAACACATTAAAACATGAACCTATAGCTGGCTGAGACTCTCCATTGTCTCCCTCACACAATCATTAGCACCTCACCATCTGGCATCAAAATGGCCTAATCACCTGACTGTTTATCACACCTGGCTGCCTCTCCACGTCGATGTCGTTGTTTCTACAACAGCGCCTTCAGTGAGCACTCTATGGAGCTTTGAGACAATTGTTGTTACAGTACATATGCTAATCAAATAAGGGAATTTGAATTAGACAAATTGCAAATGGGTTTGTCACTACAGAAAACAGTTTAAGGGATTCCGATTTCACCTTTGCAATTTGCGTGTACCATCGGTGCCTTTAAATCTTTTGAAAGGTGTCTGTTTTCGGAACGGTAATGCAGTCTGCCGGTCAATCAACAGAGAGGATTAACACTAACCCACAAACTTATGTCCAAATGGAGAAGTAGGAGAAAATGTGTGAAGACCATTCATACCTGCTGGGAAAAAGAATATAATTTACTCTTGGAAATCCAAATGCATCCCAATTAAAAAAAAAAGATTTTACTTAATGTGGGGCTATATCAAATTATATGTAATGAATAATAATTCACATTAATATGGTCTTTAAATAATGTTAAAGCATTCTGCTTAATATCTCTTCAATAAGATAACTTGTCAGGCTTGTAATCTTCCATTATTTAGACTATATGACTCACCTTCTAAATGTGTACTATTAGAGCTTTTTCCATATGTTTGATTATTCCTGAAGACGAGCCAATAATTAAAATTATTCAAGAATACTAGATTACTATGAAAAACTAATTTTGGCTGGATACTTGGTTACTGCGCCTCTGAACAAACTGAGTACATTAGTACAAATGAGTTCAATAGCTAGTAGTAAAAAAATCACATTGCAGATGTATATCCATATGTATTTATTACTGTTATTATTATTATTATTATTAAATAGTAGTTATTAGATTGTTATGTAATGTTGTTCTTCATATTCTTCTTCTCTTGTTTTACCAGTATGCTGTGAATTTCGAACACCTGTCAATATAGGAGCAAAAATATAAAAGTGAAATATCCATACAACACAAAATGTTGATTGTGACTGTAGCTTTGCTGATGCGGGTATATATGAATAACACCATCATTTTGTTTTGTGAAAAATGTTTATCATCCTGAGACCCAAGGAAAAAAAGTGTCCTTCAATTGTAGGTTGTTTGTCTTTGGAGGAAATAAGACATCTTACAATTTAGATTTTTTTTCAGATTTATTTTTATTTTTAATTTCACAGCATGTCCTCTTTAGTGTACAACAGGAATAAATATGTTACAGTACCTTACATCAGTGAAAAGATAGATGCAAAAACAAAATGTCCACTACAATGGACATAAATGAATGGGTGGGGTCTCAGGAGGTTATAAATGGAATTAAGCATCACTTACGTACAGTGGTACCTCAGTTCTCGAACTCATTAGAACTCGAATTTCTTAAAAGTCGAACCAACTGGTTTGAAAAAAAATTACCTAGAACTCGATCCGAATCTCAGTGAAACCATGAACGCCGACCTAAGATAACTTGTAAGTGCTGGGAAATCACGTGAGTCACGCGGCACGTCTCTCAGCGGAAACAAAGTGTAAAGCTTCAGTCTCAGCCTTACATTAGCTGTGATAGCATCGTTCATGTTTACACTAGCTGAATACATATTCAGACAATTATTTAGACAGTAAAAATACATTTAGACAATTAATGATAGACAGTAACAGTAATTGTTATATAATGAAATACATTTAAAAATAAAGATTTCTTATTCTTTATTTTAATATTAATAATAAACCATTAATACGTTTAATTATAATAATATGGTCGTGCCCAGCGGGGACGGACCGGAGACAAAGGCGCAGACGTCAGAGTATCGGGGAATATGGGGTTTAATTACAGGTAAGGCAGGCAAAACGCAGACGGACAATACAATGACCGGACTGTGGAAACAAACAAACGCGGACTAAATACTGTACTTCTATTATTGAGTATGGGGAGTGGTCTTCAGCAGTGGAAGATGATGTAAAATGGGTACACGAACACAAGTCCGGTCAATTACACATAGTGAGAAACTCCCTTTGTGTTTCCTTTCCAGATGTCCATAGAAATTTTATGTCGTGCCAGCCACCTCAGTTATCGATGCTTTGCGATATTTAGTATATTTATGGTTTATGTACGCAAATCAAGTAATTGCTGACTTGGCAGGACATAAGTTAACTGCATAGGCGGGTGCCCAGTGTAGAAAAGCATTGAAGCTAATACTTACTGAAGGACAACAACTCTAATTCCCATGTTTTACACAAATGGACTATGTTTTAGGCAACAGCACCTCATTCAAATATTACCATGGTATGATTCCAATTTATTGTCCCCAAACTGTGCACAGGATTGTTCTGCAACACATCAATAGATGGAATAGGCACCTGCTGGCCCAAGAGCAGCGCTGGAGAGATGGTGTCACGGCCCTGTCCAGAGTTCTTCTATGGCGTCAGATACAACACCACTAGTAAGTAACCAAGCCTGCCTGTAGGCCATTGAACTTAAAGTGTTCACAAACGTCCCTGAACCACATAGCTATAGAAAGAATACAATAAAAACATTGAAATATGAGAGAAACAACTCCAAATTAGTGGTTTAACTGTATCCATCTCATTCCGGTCACCAGTTACTTGCAGCTGAAGCAACTGTTTGGCACTATATCGTCCCTGAAGCTGACGTTGCATTTTTATCAGAATAATCTCTGTCAACTCACCCAGATCATTGGATTAAAGAATAGTTCTGTACAGTCCAGTGTGGTAGTTTTTCTACCATAAATAAACACTCACAGGACCACACTATAGAGACATGGACATCGCTAACATGACAGTTCCATTATGCACCTCAGATGACAACAGCAGGGCATGTTGGTCTTGCTAAAGGAATAAGTTGTGATCTGAGTCGCTGGGGAGAATCCTCCATTCTGACTCAATGAACAAATGAGCAATCCAGGCAGCCTCTGTAGGGAAAACTGATCTGGGAGGCTATTTGAAGGGAACAAGCCGGGGTCACTGGAATTTAGAGAGCTGCGCATCTTTCTCCCTTATTGAATCTAAAATAGCTATTCTGCTGAATTAGCTGCTGTTAGCATCTGTGTGCATGTGTGTTTATTTCTCAGAGAGCTGATAGCATGAATACTCGTGCTACAAGAGGCTTTTAAAGCCCTCCAACCAGAAAGGACAATGTGCAAATGTATTTTTCAGTGCTTATATTTTGCATGACAACAACAGCACAAAATTACAAGAGTCATTCATTTAAAACAAACACAAAAAATCAAGTAAACTGACATTCTAAGTGATAATGCAACAGTAAGTGACTCAAACTATATACTGTATATATAATGGTTCTCACTTTGACCCTCACTAGTAGATGCGGCAGTAGATAATGGTTTAATGTACTTCTCAAAAGAATTAAGAATTGCAAACGGTCAGAGCAAGCATACACACATTTCAGTTGTACTTAACATAGCACATGAATGGACAGTCCCCACAAAGATATACAAATATATATACATGAATATATAGATGACGTCTGTGTATGTGTGTGTGTGAGAGAGAGAGTGTGTGTGTGTGTGTGTGTGCTTTCCATAATTCTGGATAGCTAGTGCAATTTTGGTATACAGTATCAAATTCTTAAAAAATGTTACAAAAACCTACTGTTAACAGACACTTAACAGATTACACTACCATACACCTTTTTACTCAAGGTTTATTGCAAATGCAAAACATGACCTACAGTTGTGAAACATACAGCTGTATTTTGTTTGGATGCAAAGGTAATAAAGGTTCTTTGTACTGGTGCAGCATTAAATAAGACATGTACAATCTCATGTCTGTCCTCCTGCCACTTAAGGAGATCTTTCCAAGTCTACTGACATTAGTACCTAACGTTTTAAAAGAAGGATTAGCAACTCACTGTAAGGCTCAATGGTAAAAATGCCCGTGTGTAATGCCACTGGTTGGCAAAAGCATGTCCAAGTTTAATTTTACCAACGAGGCCACATTCAGTACATTGCTCTCATAGCATTGTATGCAAGCAAGGGATTTTAAAATATCCTTCACACCTTTATTTAGTTGGGTCAATACTGTCAGGATTTTCACATAGTTCCCAGAAATCATAAATATATTTTAAATTTAAGAATAGATTTTAAATAGATACATAATTGATGGAAAAGCAAAGCTACTTCATTTAGAAAGCACAATGTCCAATTGTACCTGCTTAATCAGTTATAGTTAGACATGATTTTACAGAGAGGACAGAATGGAATCAGAATAAGTTAGGCTGCTTCCTCTACTGGACACCAGTAGAGGCAGATGGCAAACAGAGCATCAGCAGTTCATAAAAACTGCAAGTCTGTGGACTATGGCAGGAGACACCACGGATTCTGGAGACAGCCCACACACGAAACACCCACAGCCACAGAACTGGGGCTGGATTCGAACCCATAGCCCCAGGACCGGGGGCGTAGTAGCTCACTAAATTACACATGACATGATCTATAACTGCAGGATGCAGCAATTAGTGCCAGAGGTGCAATTTTATTTATTTCTTTTTGTGGGTTGTGTACTGGTGCAGTTTTATGATTCATTTTAATTTAATCTGTGAGATAATTTGACAAATGTCACATGGACAGCACTATGTCATATTAACTATTTTCTACAGCTAGTTGGTATCTTCTTCTTAATTTATGACAAGCCTTGAATTGGGAGATATGATTCAAAGCCTTGAAACCAATTGCTCAGGTCACCAAACAGTACAGGTGAATACCTAAGATCTACACATAAATATAGAAGCTGCTAAGTCAATAGTAAATATTTTAATATTCATTGATATGTGTGATGGGCTGCCCCCCCCCCCCAATCCAGGGTTGTTTCCTGCCTCGTGCCCATTGCTTCCGGGATAGGCTCCGGACCCCCCGCGACCCAGTAGGATAAGCGAGTTGGACAATGGATGGATGGATGGATGATATGTGTGACATACATAACAAATGGCATTGGGTTTTGTATTACCTTGAAAAGTTTTTAAGTGCTCCTTGCAACACGGACACCAAATGACATCCTTGACCCGTATGTGTGATGCACTTCTGCTCAACGGTCTCCTTTTTTAAATAGTGTGGGTTATAAGAAATCCAGGCCCTCATCTCTTCTCAACAGAGGAGTGCCACGCCTGATTTGTGTTTGTCTCTCCTCTCATTACTGCCCCCTTATTAACTCACTCCAGCTGCCTCTTGTTTATTTCCTCGTTAACCCAGAATATAAGCGCTCTCCAGGGTCGTCTTCCCCAGTTCAGTCATTCATGTTGCTCCCTGCTGTTCCTTTGCCACAAACCTTTTCCCTGTCTTCGTTTTGATCCCCTGTGACTCTTTGCTTTCATGCCCTGGTTTCATTTGTTTAATAAAAACCCCTTTGTTTGTGCCTCGTCCTGCTCCATGCTACACGTGACGTTTCTTAAGGTACTGACAATAAACACAGGATAAGTATGAAGTGAACTCAACGTTTATATAGCTTGGTCTTATTCCAAATGCCAAAAAACTTCATATATGATAGAAGTAAATTGCATCAGAAGAGATTGATTGAAATCCTAATTTTAAATATTTAAAAATATTATTTTTCTGTATTTTATGTAAACAATATAAGTGTATAATTCTTTCTGTTAGATATTAGCTCTATTCCAGAATAACCTAATTTCTCTGAACCGTGACCTCAGTGCTTTGAACGGTCCAGCACATCTGAAAAACATTATCTTGATGGTCATTCAGGTTGTGGAATGTTTGGAAGTTTGCTTTACTATGATGTGACCCAATCGCTGCAAGACCTTTGTGAGTCCAGCCCCTCCCTCAGGGGGCCAGTTACACTGGGCAGAGGATGAATCAGTCACTCAGATATTATTAATTGCATACCAAGTTCATCCATGGGGTTTCATGTATGTCATTCATATTCTTATAAATCAATTTAAAAAAAAAGCAAGAGACAGGGGTTGGAAAGGGACACGGATGGGAAGAGAGGATGAAATATCTTGTAATCTTGCCAGTGTTCCAAGTCATAAATGGTTGGATATGCCAGAAATAGCCGTGCAAAATTCCATGTTAATGCAAGTTCGATTTAGCAAGAGTTACAATGGTATTCCAGTCTTTGCGCTCATTCAAAAACCATGTGGATGATGTGAATTCCTGCATGTCTTATATTAGAAGCCTGGATATTATGAGCTCTGAACTTCAAATACAATTTAAAGTAAGTGAAACTGTCATACAAATCCAAAGGATTACAGTTGATGGAAGACTGATCTGGAATGAAAGTACATTGCAAAATATTTTTTATGTAATCTGAGCTAATGATTTTTTATTGTTTTTATTCTCTGTCTCACCTTGCTCTGTTTCCCGCTGCTCTCATTGTTATCATAGGAAAATAGATTCATAGTGGCGTCATTTTGGCATTAGCCACCTGCCTAACTGGCATCCTTGGCCTAAGACCTCAAAATCAGCTGCCTGTTGTCATGTCCTGGTTAGGAGCACAGTGACCGATATTCTCCAGGGGGGCATGTGACCAGTTGCTAAGTCACTAAGAGGGACTCTTGGAATAAACCACGCACGTCTCACGTCGGGGGTTTTACAACCTCAAAAGCTGTGGCCTGACCTGGGAAAACCACACGCCGGGTTTTCACGTTAATATCACACCATTAACGTTCCTCTTTTCCCTAATGGAAACCTGTGTGTCAGAACGCCCCCACCCCCCACCCCTGCCACGTACACACAGGCAGCATGGCTTCAGAGGGTGTGCTAGGTCTCCTTCCCCTCTGAATATTTGGAGCATCCCCCAACCCGGCGTTTAGCTGACCCCAAATGCCACAGCTGTGTGTAACACTTCAGTTGCTGACAGTCGAGTGTGCAGAATTGGCCTGCATGTGCTTTCTGAGGAACTCACAGTAATCCAGCCAGACTGGAAGCTCAGCAGACATGACCATCTGAATTAACAATGCCTTTTAAAATTATAGCAGTATTTAGAAAACCGGAAAGGATAAAGGAGTCCCGGAAACATCTGAGATCAGGAAAGAGAAACATCACAAAACGCTTGGTTCTGTAACGGTTAAGGACCTGTACCCAATTTGTTGCCCATTCAAATCCTCATTTGCGATCGCCTGTTGTACAATTTATTGGGTAATTCAACCACATTACTCCAGTTACTGTCCAGCTGTATAAATATATAAAATTTTAAGTGGAGTACCTTGGGCAGGTGTTGCCAACAAAATAATATCAAAATCCTTTAAGTTAATCAAGCACATTTTGATTAACACTACATAACAGTACACTTCTCACTTACTGTATAACAAAATATTTAACATATAAACTTTTAATGTCCTGTCAGCACACTGCAAGACATAGGGTAATAAATCATCCTAGTGGAGTTGAAAGCACCTCAACTATCTTTTTAAACGCCCCAAAATTCCACAGATTTGTCTATAAACGTGATTGCTTGGAATCTGCAGTGATTTATGGGAATAGAATTATACCTTGATATCCGGCTGCTTTTTCTGGCCCCTGCACTAGCAGGCTGGATGTTTCTGCTCACAACGCTCTGGGAGATTAGCCGCGCTGCTTTGCCATCAGCACCGGCAGGCTTTCCCCGTCTTCTTTTTCCGGACTTGTTTATTGTAGTAATGGGTATGAAATCAATATGGGCCAGGGAGAGAGGGTGACATTCATGGGACAGAGAGTCTTGTTCAAGGTCGGGGGGAGCCGCGATCCACTCGCCTCACATGCCTGGAATGGGGCACCTCTGCCCCCCTCTGCCTGGTGGGCACCCCAGTACCATGCCATGATTCTGAGGTGTTCTTTGTTTTATAAGTAATACTACAGCGTGGCAGTGCCTACATAATGACCACCTGCGTAGAACGATGGCAGGACAATCCAGATATGTGAGTGACTCCGGGTCAGCACACGTCTGCCTTACTTCAGCGGTGAGGCATCCGGATGGGCTGAGCAGCAGGTCTTTACTGCTCTGGTGTCTGACTGACAGTTGTCCTATGAACACATGTGTGTGAGGGAAACCCCCCCCCCCCCCTCCCCCATTGGTCAAGACCCTGCACCTCGGAAAGTCTCACTTTGCACCCCCTAGGAGAGAAGCCTCCTGGAGCACTAGAGTGTGAATTGGATCCTGTATGTCGTGAGGAAATGGAAGCAGTCATGCTCGGTGATGCAAGAAGGGGGATGTACCTGAAACCCAAGGGATTGTACCTATTGATTCCATGTATTATCACTGGATTTGGTACCCAAGTGGCTGCATGGACATATATCAATGAACTGACTTGCCTCAGGAATATGTGTGTAGACATGGGTAAATTCAGTGGTCCTCATCTAGAATATTATAGAGCACATATTTACATTGAATGCTGCTAATAGAGAAGAGAGGTTTCAGGCTTTTCATCGTAGGATTGTAGGATTCGCTGCTGTAGCCACTATATACTAAAATATTCACAAGAGTAGAAAATATGCATGTTTCTTCTACCATAGCCTGTGCCTCACCTCATCCATGGTGTGCAGGATAGGCTCCAGACTCCCTGAAAACCTGTACAGAGGCCACAAAATGGTCATTCTAATAAAAAAGTTTTATTAGCAAATTAGGCTGAATGTGTTTTATATAGATTCTAGGTGATTATTAGGACTTTGCTAACCTACTGAATGAGTACTTTGTTGGAAAAATGTGTTTTTGTTTGCTTTTCATGCGTGTTGGCTCAGTTCGGACCATAGCACCCCGCTCCTGTTTTGAATAAAAAACCCATACATATGCTCCTGGGGTGTTTTGGTAACAAAGACCTTTTCAACACTTATTTCTTTACAATTGTATTTTACATTGCACTGTTTCTCTGCCCTTATATACATGTAAGCATGTAGTTGTTGTAAATTAGAAGTTGTGAGGACAAAAAAATGGTCCCCACAAGGCGAAAATAACAGGTTTTTAATGACATTGTGGGGACAATTGGTCCCCACAATGTAATATATACATGACCCACACACACACACACTCACAGGGAGCAGAGGTGGGATTGAAACCCTCAAAACTTAAGCATCCAAAACTGTATTTGATGCAGTGAAACAATTTTTCTCATACACTAACTTATCGACAATAGATTTAGGGATGAGTTCTTGTGCTATATTTTCTTTCCAGGGATGTCCTCGCTCACATAATCTATCATTCCAGGTGGTAGTCCGTGACCTGTCTATACTTGCAAATGATTGGACAGCATTATGTCAATACTGGACAACATTATGTCAATATCTTCATTTCCTGTGTTAGTTTGTGACATGCATTTACCATCCATACAGCCTGATTCTTAATCTGCAATTCAAATTTCTGCTACACCCTCATCCATTCTCTCACAAACGATTAAACAAAATTGCACAAAGAAAGTGTGAAAATGTCTTATTTCAACAGGAAATGTATTTTGTCTTCTTATTTGTATTTTGTCTTAGTTATTCTGTTAGGGTGTAATGCATTTTTGCGAGGCTCTTTGGAATAAGGCAATATAAGGTTATACTGGAATAAGGTTATACTGCTCCATTAATATAGTCCAGAGCCTATCCCTTGACAGCATAGTGCATAAGGCTGAGATACCACTCCATTGTAGTCAGGGCTGTAGCCAGCATCTTTAAAGTACCAAGGTTAAAAGTGTTAACCCATCCTAGGTGATCCCTGTAATGGATCATGGTTATTGGCTTTGCAGAAAAAAATTGTGTGGACTTGACCTAAGTGTCCTCAATGAAAGATACGGGCATGCTTGTCGTGAACATATGCAAACACACTATGGGCAATTTAAGAACAGCAATTAGCCTACCCGTGTTTCTTGGGATTGTAGGCAGAAGCCATGTGAAACAAGCAAAACATGCAGGTTGCACATGCACATCATGCCACTCGGTCTAAAGCGCTTCCTTAAACACAGCATGTATTTATCCACTATTTAAGTGTCTAAATGATGAAATAACCAGTGACAGGATGGATTCTGCAGCAGACACCTTGGTTTTGGCTGATAGATCAGGACGTTGCAGTCAAAGCTGGGATGTCATGGCACTTGCAGGTGGCTCCATCTGGGCAAGTAGTAAGTTATAAACCCGCGTCTTTTGTCCATGCAGATAACGTGTACAGAGAATGCCTCTCGAATGGGACCTGGGCGATGAAGGGAAACTACTCTCAGTGCCAGGCTATTCTTAATGAAGAGGTAAGGCAAATGGGGAACTACAGCCACCCTGTGTGGGAGGGGTTATCTCACTATGCTCTTCACATCCTCTTCCACACTTTAAGTGGGTTGATCTCCACCTTGCTGCGTAGTACCCGATAGCCACCTGACACTTGGAAGGATTAGCCCACAGAAGGCGGTTAATGTATAATCTTTTCACTTCTGGAAGTTTACTTTGCTGTTCAGTCATTAGGAAATGCAAAATACCTCAACAAAGTATCTCCATCCAAGGCAGTGTTCTCAACATCTATCTAGTATAAAATGCTGAGTGCAACAATTGAACTGTAACCAGATCTATCCTGCAAAGCCAAGGCAGTATTAAGCCTCAGTATTAACCCTTTGAACTCTATCCTTTTCTGAGTATTTCTCTTTCCCTAGGCTTATTACATTGTATGAGTTAGCCACATATGTCGTATGGGTTTGTGTTCAGGACATTCTGGGCTACTCCGATATCTCATAATTTAATGTTTAAGTGCTGACACAGTCTTGGTATCATAGTTTTTATGAGGGAAAAACTACTTGTGCCTGTTGAAATTTCTCAATTTTTAGTCTCATCTAATATTAAAATTTGCAGGCACTACAAATATAATCTTATAAATGTTGAGGTTAGAGTCTCTGTGATGTGGGAGTGCAGAGGCTTCTTGTTGGGACGTTTCTGTGGCTTAACAGTGTGACAGAATACATGGTTAGTGCCAGGGGGAAGTGAGTGTTGATTTTGCATCCATTTGGTAAGTTGTTGAAGTTATTTGATAGACAGCAACACACACACACACATATATATACACACACACACATAGAAAAGCATTGTTAACAGCCATAACAGACATTTTTAGAGTCTAATGCTGAATGTTTATCGCTATCATTTTTCTGCCTTTGTACACTATGACTGATTAAAGTGAAATTTGAGAATGAAATTTTAAGTCAGCGTTTTAGCCTCAAACAACAAACAAATGTTATAGCTTGTCATTGTGTTTACTGTACATGTGAGAGGTGTTCCAATTACACCATGGGCACCTTCTCTTTCAACTGTTTTCACGGAGCTTGACCTCAAACATACATATACTTTTGTGAATAAATATTGTGAAAATATCGAGTAATTGTCTTCCTAATAAATAGCATGCTGTGTTTTGTTTTTGTTTCTAGGAGAACTCCAACCAATTTTTGAGTGTTTTTCTCAAAAATTTATAGGCTTATAGGAAATAAATTATAAAATAACGATTTTTTTCCCCCAGGTGGGTAGTACGTCGATCATTGCAGAAATTAATATGCGCTTAGTTTTCCATCTAATGTGAATGATATCAATGTTTTATGATTTATATGATTATTATGATTATTAGGGGTACCTTTTGGTTGAAAATATCTAAAATACATGCCTCATTGTGTACAGGATTATTTTAGTGCATGACATTTCAACTTAGACATCCGGATTGAGTAAGTTCTCTCGATTCCAAGGATATGTGACTGTGACATTGTACCTTATCCAAAGTTATTGCTAACATTATTGACCGTGAGCACATGCCATGAGGTTTGATGATGAAAGTCAAAGTCTGCTAAATCTGGAGAATGTGAACAAGGTCATAAATGCTCAGTCAAACAGTCAGAATCCACAGCCTTGGACTCACTGTTCACTGCAGCTGAGGTGTTTGAAGGGTGGGTCAATGTCAAAGAGCCTCAGGTTTGCCCAAATTGACACCAGTTTCTCCACCTGCACATTTGTGAGACTGTTGTGGACTTTTGTGTGGATATTGTCAACGACAGACCAGGATCGCATAGAGGCAGCTGAATTTGGGAGATTATTATTGTAAGATTATTGCTGCAATCGGTAACAGAACCTTTAGCTCAGGCCCTTGCAGTCACAGAATAAAGTAAAAGATGAGTTACATCAATTTGCTAGCAAGACTAATTAGCTAAATTATTTTAGGTCATCCATTATCCTGTTGAATGGATTATTTGAGGGATAGCTGACAATGGACATATGCAAGTTTTTACATGCTTGACTTACCCATACAAAATGTAAAGTATCTGTATTGTTGTTTGACATCAGTTGTTACCCACGTGGAGCCATTTAGTTGCTTCTTGGAAAAGGCAAGATGAGCAGTTGTCCAGCACAGCATCTTCACGGTTCACTAATGCTTTCGCCATCCCCTATACAGCCTGGAGAAGTATGGAATTTTTATATGTAAAGTGTTTAAGATTCCTAGTACTGAAAATGTTCCAGCCATTTGCAACCCTATACATACCACAGTGTGTTAGACAAAAAGGAGCTACAGTATAAGGTTGAAGACATCAGAGTCTGTGTATTTTTGTAGGGCAGAGACATTCTCAGGATCTCAGGTCTGAATGAGGATGAATTCACTCCTCTCAGCTGCTATGATCAGTTCTCTCATGCTGCATAAAATATATCTTGGGCAGCGTCCAAAGCTGGTGAAAATCCAACTCTAGCATATGTGAAGCATGGCCGGTCTTTCAGTTCTAACTTTACGACTGAATCAGCTTTTCCAGAAGAAAAAAAAAAACAGATCTCTGTTGTGTCAGCTATGTTCTGCCCACACAGAGCCGAGGTCTAGGCAGCAGGTGTGACAGATCTACACATTTTTTCCTGTTATCTTGCTTCCTCATGGCTGCAAGATGATGCCCGTTTTGATGTACTACAGTATTGTTAAGGAATTCTGAGGAAAACCCCAGCAATCATACAAAGCATGATTGACATGTGATATGTCAGAAATTTATTCAGAGACTGGGGACCAGGGCGTGAGCATCTAGGGTGGACCAAAGTCATGTGACAAGTCATTCCATAAAGTCACCCGATTCTTGTTCCCAATACTTATAAAAGACTATATTTTCTCTTCTGTTATCCTTGAGCAAATGGAGCCAGACCCAGACACATAACCCAGTCTTTGGTTGTAGTCTGTCCAAGACCCGTTGCCCATTTCAGCTTTTGTGTATCTCCCTGTGCTTGTATACACTTAAATAAAATCGTTCTTACGTTGAAGGAAACCAGCTAAAATAATCAGGTTTTTTTTTGCCTGAAAGGCATTCATCTTATTTTTTTTACTTTTTAGTAGAATATGCAAGAATCAATAAACCAGTTACATCACTGTCCAGCTTTGTGAGTAAAGTAAAAATTGCATTTATTCTCCCAACAAATTTGTTGTTATGCTAAGTTGCAACATGATACAACAGAAACAGTAAACCATTAGCCCTTATAAGCATTTACCATATACAAAGTGTTTCTCTTCCTCCAACATTCAGTCTCGAGCTGACTGGGTTTAAATTGACTTTTTTTCACGTTTACTTTTTCCGTACCTGATTAAACAAGCTCTGTCAAGATCAATCAGCGTTGCTGCTTGCGGAAGCAAACAGGAATAGGCGGAACTAATGCAATAAGATAATGATTCATTACAGAGCTCTGAGTGCCTGAAAGAGCAAGCCGCTCAAAATGGGCTGGGAGAATCAGCCGTGGTGGCCGGTGAGGTTTCGCCGGCGGCTTCCCAGCTCGTGGGACCTTAAGCTGTGCCAACGGACACTGTCTGTTTCGTTTTGCTGGTGAAGACAGCTTTGTGGCTCTTATCCAAGCTGAAGGAGATGCAGCACAGTTGGTGACAGCCCTGCAAGTGCACAGCAGCACCTAGACTATATATAATCCTAGGTACTGGGCACGACAAGGTCAGGGTGTACTAATTCTAATTAGTCAAAGTTTTCAACAATGCATCCAAAATGTTAAAGATTATTTCCTTAGAAGGAAACAGTTTAATACCAGATGAGGAGTAAGCAATACTGAAGCATGCTGGACTAAGGGTGATGTAAGAGTGATGCTGACTTGCACGAATCACAGCAAAGAGCTCAGGCACGAATCACCCATAAAAAGGCTCCACGGTTCTCTGCAGCCCCTGGCGACTGATGATGCAAGGCTCACAACAGCTTTTACTGTCTTCTGCTGTTCACAACACTTTAAGTGCAAAATAAAACTGCAGTGCCACTGGACCACGTGACAGTAAATGTCTAGCTCACATGGGGATGCGAATAATATGCATTCATGCATTTTCATGCCGAATCGCATGGAGGTCGGACAGTTTTTTTTAAAGAAACCTTCCGACACACAAGAATACTATAAAAGTATTAAAAAAGCTATAAAAGTAATGTTTAATTTTCAGCTATTTTCCATGACCACAGCTGGCTGTGAGCCTGGAAGCCGTCCCAGGATACACAAAGCAAAAGGCAGTGCAGACCCTGGATGGGAGGCTGGTCCACTGAAAGGAACACTTTAAATTTGTATTGTTTTTATTGTTAGATTTTATAGTTTATCAATCATTTCCTTGTATATATTGCACAGAATTTAATATGTCTGGGCCATGCTTGGGGATTTGATTTAACCACCATTTCTGTGATTGTGGAATCTGCATGTTCTCTGCAAGATTTTCCTCCAGGTTCTCCAGTTTCCTCCTGCAGTCCAAAGACATTAGACTAATAGTGCAGTGCTTCCCATCCCAGTCTTCAGGGACAGCCAGACAGTCAATGTTTTTGCTCCCTCCCAGCTCCCTGCCAGAGAATCCACATTTTTGCTCCCTCCCAGCTCCCTGCCAGAGAATCCACATTTTTGCTTCCTCCCAGCTCCCAAGCTGTGCTGTGTGCTTCCTGGCATAGGCTCCATGCTCACCTTGACCCTGCATGAAATAATTATTATTGGATAAATGCATTTGTTGACTTGTACAATTGACAGTATATAATGAACTATGAGTGCATATCAGTCCAGTTGTTTGCTTTTAGAAGCCAGACATAAATCCATGCAGATGTATCGAAAGATTGACATTTAGCCAGACCCCAAAGGGTGGTGTTCGCCTAGCGAGTACACAGAATATAGCTTTACTGGGGAGATGGAGATGCATAGGGGAGGCTTCCTGTCTGCCTCATGCCTTTCAGCTGGTAGGCTTCCATACTGCTTCATGCACCGACGCCACCCCTATTCCCTCATTCCTGTTAAACTGGCATGATGCTCTAATTTGATTTTGAAAGGGTGACATGATGTTCTTAATATAATTGGATAATTTTCCAAAAGGTCTTTAATAACCAACATAATTTGACACCAGTCTATAAATATCCTTCATAATATAAACTGCTGACAGACAAATGTTGACCAACTCTGCCAAGCCAAGATGATGTACTCAGGCATTCAGTCTGGTTTCATTGTTACACACTTTTGTTTCCTGAAAATGTAGCAATGTCTTGCTGTAGTCCTCACGATATAGCACATTTACTGCTAATATCTTGTGCATTTGCAACAGATTCCTAAAAGCTAAATTAGATTACTTAACTTCAACTTGTATGTCAATTTTATTCTCAATTCTCATTTTTAATCATGTTGTATAATTGTAAAACCTAAATTCGACCCCAGAACTGACTGTATTTCATTATTTCCGTTTATTTGTTTTCATTTCTTTGCAGTTGCATTCTGGCCCTCGTTAGGCTGTGACTCTGCTCAATCCTTACAGAACAGCTACTGCTGGCTAACATGTCTTCCACAGACCCACAGACCTGCTGCATAACGGCACATATAATCAATAGAACATAAAGTGTATTTGTTACGGTGCTTATAATCGTAATATGAATTAAGGCATTCCCTGCTAAGTTTGTCTTCAAGAAGACATACGTCTTTATACCACAATCAGCAAACAGAGCAGCTGTATTGTGATAATGCTGTTTATTAAATTGCACGATTTTCCTTTAAGAACAGCGCAGTCAGTTTTTCCGTGATGTTTGAGGACAGGCTTAGGATGCCGGTCGTGCTCGATTCCCAAGGGGCGCCAGTGTGCTGGGAGTCCCTTCAAGATCACAGCTTCATGTTGTCCATTTTAATAGCCACATAATTCATGGGAATTGTGCCAAGCACATTACAGGAGGGCTGCAAAGCTGAAAATACCCCCATTGGGATAAAATTACTCTGCTGCTAATAAGTATCTCAACGTCTCCTCCTGATCAAAGTCGAACTTCTCAGGCTACAGAGCAGCCGCCAAGCGACATTTGACACATACTGTATTTGCCCTCAAAGACGTGGAAAAGCACTTCACAAATGAGAGATGTCAGGAAGTGAGGCAACATTTGCCATTGGATTACCCTTCACTCTTGCAGTATGTAACTGCAGTTGTTAAGCAGTTTGTTACATTAGGTTTCTTTTACACACCTTTTACATGTAAATAGTCATATTAAAAACCAATTCCGATGTGATCACCTGAAAATCAGCACAGGCCTTTTGTAGCCTGGGGACTACTGCTGTAGTAACACTTTTACTTTAGTGAAATATCCCATCTGCATTCATTTCTAACAAATGATTACCCTCCAGAGCCAGGAATAATAGCATGGGTGGGACGGCATACAATCAGGTGGGCCAGTCCCAAAACAATTCACATTGCAGACTCAGTCTGTTTTTAAATGATCCGTGGCATTACTAAGACCAAGTGAATACAGAGAAAGAAAAATATGTTTCTGTCCCTCCAATTGATCTAACGACGCACAAACATACAGGTCACACGATTGTTATGTTATACTGTATCGCTTGCCTTGAACGCTGAAGGGGTGGGCCTTAGTTACATCTGCATGGGCACAGGTAGGCCTGAGATTTTTAAGGACTGGTTTTGGGAAATGTTAAAAAACATGTTAAATCTGTAGATGATTTTAAATTTACCCTTACAAACACTTCAGACCTGCTTATTGCAATGGCTAAAAAAATTGTTGATGCAAGTATTTTTAAATACTTCATGTTTGAAATCTTCTAAACCAAAATTTTGTGAGAATCACCCTATTAATCTCTGGAAACATTTTTGAAATTGCATCAAGTTTGAGAGTTTTTGAAGAAACCCCATCACAGAAAATATAGTGCTGCTATATTTTTAATAATACAGATGTCTTAAAACACCAAGTAAGGATTATGTCATTCAGTTAATCATTGTAAATTCATAATGGAAAGAAAAAAATGTGCTATTTAAACATCAGAGAGACAGACCAGTTGTCACGATCGACACGGAAACGGAGCCAGGAGGTAGGGTAAAACGGGGATTTATTACGGGAAACAGGACCGGGGAAGCACGACAGCAAACATCAATGACAAATCTAGGGAGACTGACTCAGACTAGGACTAGATACACAAGACTAGGCAAACGTAACAGGCAACAGGTGAGAACAATCAGGGATGAACACGAGGTAACGAGGTGGGCGTGGCACACATTAGGATCGGACGGAGCCGGGCGTGACACCTGTGAAATGGTCGGTCCCAACAGATTACACTACCTTTGTCCCATTTAGCAGTGTACCTGTTCAGTAGACTACATTTTCAGTGAAATTTCTTGTCATGAATGGGATGAGATATTAATGTGTATTTTTTGTAGTTTTTCTAATTACAAAGGTCTATTTCTTTGTAAGATCTTTTTTTGCAAAGTTGGCAAGATACTTATTGGAAATTCAGGGTCCAGAAAACAACTGATTTTCTGTTTAATACTATATATTCTGAATTTAAATCAAGATAAGTCACGTCCCATAGGATGCTGCATCAGCAAACCGAACCATGAAGCTGAATGAAGAAAAGCCCTTTATGAAGCTTCATATTACAGGAGATAGTTTGTGGGAATGGAGAACAAACAGAAGTGATAGTCAATGCAGATTTCAGTGAATTTAATGCCCCAGGCAGTTTGTAAGAAACCAATAAAATATCTCCCAGTCAGGATTAAAAATTAACAGCTAGGGGAAGAGTGGTTGATCTTGCCACAGTCCTGTATACTGTTAGGATGTCAGAGAGCCGAGGAGCTAAAAAGGAGGCAATGAATTAAAGTTCTTTTAAATTCCTCTGCACCTATGGAAGATTATTCCCAAGCTGTCATCTCTGGATATTTATCTTCGAGCTCCACTGTGGGTGAACAAGGGGTATGTACCTGGCAGGTAACTGGACTGGACATGGTTGTCAAAGGCCATCTCTGTCTGCTCCCTGTCGCCACTGCTGTGATAGCCCTCACCAGTGCAATGATAGCCCCTGCCAGTGCTGACAGTTGGAGGACAGCAGTCTCTTGCTGTCAGTTGCACTGGGGCCTTCTGCTGCTATCGGGGAGGGTGGCGGGTACTGTCACATCTCCACCACCTTTTTCTTAGACAATGCCTTAAAGCTCTGGTTTCTATTTTGATCCCTTTGCACAGAGTATATACATTTTTAATGGTTCAAAGATAAATTTTACCAGGATGCCACAGTGAATATCTCAACTCTGATTGCCTCTGATATGTTTGATATTTTCCAGGTCTGCTTTGTCTGTACATGTGAAAAGTCACTTAAAACACTTAATTTAGATTTTGCTAATTTGTTCCAAAAGTGAACTGATTTTTGTAGCTAACTACAGATATATTAAAAATTGTCATTGACACTGTCGGTGTGTCTCATATGACAGCCTTACTTCACAGATTACTGATTATGATTATGATAACACATTAGACAGGTATTTGCTTAAAGTAATCCATTCAAATCCACTCAGAATTGGTGTGATGCATTGATTTTTAGGATATTAAGCCCCTGCTTGCAATATTCAGGTGTCTAAGAGAAAGTTATAGAGATAGAGATACCTGTAACACAACTGCAAATGTGGACTGGTTCACTTTTACACCCCTCCCCCAACACACACACACACACACACACATACCTCCAGTCACATAAATCAGGTCTAAGCAATCTTGAAGGAATAGAAAGCTGTGGGTGTATCCTTTGAGATCAGGAAAGTTTAGCGTCTCTGTAACTTTCTTCTAGGCAACAAATGACCTCCATTTAAGAAAGTGCAGGTGGACTCAGACACATGGCCACCATGCTTTTGGTTGATACTGGAGTCATGTTTCTCATCAGACCTGATTCCCACAGCAAGGAAATATACAAAACAGAACCTGTTTTTTCTCCTTAAAAATAAGTTTGAGCAGCATATGCCAGTCAAATTGCTGTCTTTCTTCAGCTCTTCTGGATCATCTTGCCATGTGAACACAGTCATTTTACAAGACAGTTATTTCAGGGTGAAAATACATCACTTTGTTTCAAAATTCCTGCACAGTGTGTACATAGTAACAAATAGCAAGTCTTATTTTTCTCTTTTTTATCAGAAAAAGAGCAAGTTGCATTACCACATTGCTGTGATCATCAATTACTTGGGTCACTGCATCTCCTTGGCGGCTCTCCTTGTGGCTTTCATCCTCTTCATGCGCCTGAGGTAAGAGTATCTAACTGTTTGCCATGAGAACAGGCTCTCTGTCTCCATCCATAAATGGGCCAGGGCCACCAGAAACCCAAGCTGAGTCATGTGTCCAGAGATCAGTATCTTCACATAAACATTGTCGCCATCATTCTTGTTCATGTTCTGATCACATGGTACTAAGTCCATACAATTGGTGTGATGTGTGTTAATATTAGCATTGTTGAAAAGTCTCCCACATTCAACTGTCCTGTCAAAAATGCTTATCCTTTGGATGTAGCAACACTGTTGATGTACTTTTTTGCCTCATGATGGGCAAAACACCAATTTACACTGCAAAGGATATTTAGTGATGGGATACTTCATCAAAATTTTCAGTCCTTGGTTCGCTGTGCTGGACTTTGTTCAGACCTAATGTCTTTATATGCAAATCAACCTTCATTTATTTTTCCTTCTGTGTCTTTGCAATGTTGCAGAAATATTCTTTCTTTTTCTTCATAAAAAAGAAGACTATACAACACACGTGTAGTTGCCTTCAGGTAAAAAGACTATAAATTCCCTTGGAGCAGGTGTCTGATGTCACTGTCATGAACTTTACACAGCTGAGCTTTAGTTTGTCCTTCAGCATGAAAAGCCACAGAAATGCATCAAATTTTGCACGAATTTACACACATGCAACAAAACACTGTTGTTGTCCATTCTCTTAAGTTGTTGAAGAAAAATAAAAACAAGTAAGTTGCAAGTGGTGTCAAATTGAAATGTAACTAAATAAATATATCTTTCATGGTACTGTAATATTTACTAGGTAGATTTATACCACAATACTCTAAATGTGAATGGGAAAGCATGGTTATAAATAAGTAATTAAGGTCAGACTTGAGTGTGACATGATATAGAAGAGTGGGTGAGGTAATGCAGACAACATGAACACAGCTCCATTTATAGCAGGAACAGGAACTATTAAGTTCCCACTGGATGCTCAGAAATGTGGTATGTCTGGGATTTAATGGCTGATGACTTTCAAAAGGTACAGTGTATTGTGATCTTGAAAGATTAGTTACTTGTTACACCATTTTCCAAACTGAGCTGAAATCTGTGCAGCAATTATAATGTTGTAAATCTTCTCACAAATATATTTAAATTATAAACATGGTCAAGCAATTACCCAAACCTGAATCTGGAACTGAATAGAGGGCACCTGGGTGAACTTGTAAGGAATAATGTATAGCCTGAATGCTGTGAGGTGGGAAATGACAAACTTGCTTGAAGAAACATTGAAAAAAGAAGGTAAAGCAGTATGTCTGTTTTAACTTTATACTTCACACTCCAGGAAATAATAATGTTGAAGTTAAAAGGCTCACTTGGCTGAATAACATCCATAATCAAACAAAGATTTAAGGTAACTTTTATGTCGGCAATGGCAACAAAGTAAACTATACCAATAGTTAATCTCTGTGAAAACATTTACTTACTGTAATAGCTATTAAATCCATGTTTTGAATGGATTTGTCCTGTTGTCATTTTGCTTTGTTTGCTGCTGATCATGGTCATAAAACATCTGCCAAAGGTGAATTTCATTATTTTACCAAAAACGTTTATTCGTTAGTTTTTCTTCTCAACATATATCCAGTTTATAATAGTACAAGAACAAGACATTAAATGCCATGTACTGTGCAGCTTACATCATATGCATATTCAAATATTCCTTGTTGCATAGTATAAACAAATAAAACTGTGCCAGTAGAATTCCTTGTTTAGGAAATTGTAAACATTTCTCTGAAGCCTTCACACTATAACAATAATTCTACCAAAAACAAATGTAAATTGCACTTAATAACAAATCATCAATAAACCAAAAGTAAAAAATAATTGAAGAAGACTAGCTCTCCTTTAGAGAACAGTAAATATTTCAAAAGCCGTTGAGAGATTTCAAAGGCAGAAAAACAGCGGCTTATTCTTTCAGTGGACACAAGAGAGAGTTGCTGGTACGTACAGCATCAAATCTCTATCCAAGATCTTATTTTGGAGTCCATCTTCCACAGTGAACATTGTTTATCACAGCAGATGCAGCTTTTTATGAGTGGTAGTACGGTTGAGTAGCAAAGAGGTCTGCAGAGTTTTGGGTTTAATTCCTGCCCCAGAGCTTTGAGTGTTTACATGCTCTCTCCCCTGAAGTGGATAAGTGGTGTGATGCTCAGCGGAGTAGCCACATCTCCGCTGCGCCTTAATCCCCCCAAAAAGGCTCCAGGGGTTCTGTATAGATGGTTGAGCCTGTACTCAAACCCAAGTTTCATTCTCACCTCTCACCTCTACATGTGCGTGTGTGTATCTCAAAGGAAAGCAATACGGGATATGAAAAAGCCATCATACTCCAATGTTCATGACCATAAAACAATAATTTTAAGCTATTATTCACGAGTCCCAAATCTTGAGTCTGAGTTGAGTCTTTTGAGGACTCAAGTGAAATCTAAAGTCACTGTGTGTGTGACTGCGAAGTGTGGCTCGAGTCCTCATCTGATGGTGCCATGACATTATGTAGTGTAATACTGTATCCGCAAAGGTGTAAAACCTTCATTTGCTACTCCAGCTGAGTCAAGCCTGTATGCATTTAATATGTTTTCACTAGTCCTGCATGCAGCTTCCCAGTGGTATACTTACTAGTATCAAAGGATGATCCTCCACTCTTAGTAGATTATGAATACTATCTTCTCCATGCCTGCCTCCCATCTCCTTCTCTAATCTGTTTAGTCTTTCTCCATCTTGACAACTCTGAAGAATTAGTTAACGATTTTCCAGTGACTTTAAACACAAACAGCCAAGGATGACAGATAATTAGTACAACCTTGCTCACCATAATTGCTTTACAAGTTGGACTTACGCCATGACATTTCCAACTGCAGAGCTGGATTTTTTGCTTCTGTTTTGAGTGATGAAACGAGCTGGATTATGCTGCAGCAGCTTCCATCAAAACATTACAATTGTCCAATTGTTGGTTATATTTAGAAACACTTGGAGATTTGAAACTGATTCACTGTGGCAAATCACATAACTTTTATCTGACCACAGTGACTTGGTAACCCAAAAGCAACATGCATATTTGCGGCTTTGCAAAAATGCACGGCCTCAAAAACATTTCATATGTATGTGTGTTAAGCTGGATTCAATAGAACAAGAGCACAGCAGGGACTGGAATGTGGCTTAAAACAAATAAAAAAAAATGAATGAATGCCTCCAGTTATGTATGCAGCCAGCATCAGATGCCCACAGAGAGAATTTAACCATGAGAGTATATATTTTGCAAGTAAATTAGGCTGTTTTACCAAGAATTAATATCAGGGGGTAGGTCCCAAAGGATTTCTAAAAAAAAAAAACCCAGCCTTGTTTCTTATTTAATTAATTGCCTTAAATCAGCATGAGAACAGTGGTTCTTGTGGCAAGTTCATAAAATTGTTCAAGCTGAGCCTGGCAGTTTAAGAGATTCCCTTCTGCCCAGCAAAACCTGCAGCTCTTCCACTTTTGGAAAACAGTAACGGGCACTGAGGGCTGCATTTACAACCTACTTCAGTGTTTTGTTGTAATACAGAAGATGATTATATTGGCTGGGAAGATATAGGATGCCACCTTTCAGACAACGAATATTATGTATCAGATGCGAAATAAGATACAACTCTTAGGTTTGATTAAAAAAAATGCCACTTGAATTTATTTTAATTTAGTCTGGAAAAGAGGGATTTACAGTAGAACCTTGGAACTCAAATGCCTCATAACTCAACCAACTCAGACATCGAACGGGTCTGTTGAATTTTTTTGACTAGTACCTCAACCAAAATCTTGTATGGGTTGAGACAACGTTCAACTGTAACAATTTAGACCTCAAACGGTTCAATGGAGAAAAATCTAGCTGCAACTCGACTGAAAACTTGGAACACAACAAAAGAAAACAGACCTGCTAAACAGATCGGATCAGATCGATAAATCACTCTCAGTCTCACGGTACCTCTCAAATGAGTTTGACGTGTTCCTGCTTTTGTTAGTTGTTTGTTTTTTTCATGCTATATCTATAATACATTTAGTGATACGATAATCATGGCCCCTGACAAAGTGAGCAGTGATAGCAGCAACCCAAAGACTAAAAGTGAGAGTAACTGTAGAACTTAAAAAGGAAATTATAGTGAGACTTGAAGGTGGTGCATGTGTGTCTCCTCTCGCTTCGGAGTATGGGATTGCCATTTATTTCCTGTTTAATACTTTTGTATGTGTGCTTTTTCATGTATTAGTTTTATATTGATTTTCAATGCTTTTTATCATTAGTCAGGTAGGCAGTTAAGTTTAACTAGGCCATCATTTGGGGGTTTTGCATGGATTAAATTCATTTACATTATTTTTTATGGGGAAATTTGACTTGGACCTCAACCAAATCGTAACTCAACCAGCCTTCTGGAACAAATGAAGTTCATGTTCCAAGGTACCACTGTACTTTGTTACTGGAATTGTAGCTGGTAAAAGTTGTCTCAAGAAGGCTGCCTGGCGAAATATGCCTTCCTGTTTTTTTATGTATAGGAAAGCACCTACCTCTCAAAATATGCTGATGTCAGTGTTTGTACCTCTGCAAGGGTCCAGTGATCAGAAATTTGTGAAATGTGAATGAGTGCAACAGAATGAGTGGTGGTTTGCTGGGTGACACAGGAAGCAAAGGCAGAATTCAATAACCAAAGAGCTTCAATGGGAAGGTAATACGATGCCACCTTGAGGCAGCTGTCATTGCAGCATCCCTGCGGAAGGATTGCCTGGGAAAATATGCGGACGGCCATCCATAACCACACAGCTGGATGCTGAGGTGGCTGGAAATTAAAGGTTGGGTGTAGACATCACAGACGAATTTATGAACAACTCATTTACTTGTATCTTTGTGCATTGCATTCCGATCTGTTTTACAGAAGCATAAGGAATATTTGATCCTCTTAAGTAGTAACATACAATACCCTTGCCTAATTGTTTATAGTATCAGACATGGAATG